TTTTTTTTTTTTTTTTTTTTTTTTTTTTTGGTCTCTGTGTATTTTATGGCCTGTTTGGTTGCTTGGAAATGTTAGAATTGAAATGATAAGAAAATTTTGAGAATTGATATCTGTTATTGTAACTAGTGCAATGGACTGCCTGAATTGAGCTCAACTAGGATTTTTGACGTTCCTGGTCCTTGCTTAGCTTCCAAGTTATATAAAACTACCAATAAAAATGGAAACTTTAGATTTCTTTGAGTAAAAATAGGTGGAATTTATTATCTAGTTTTATGAATTTTAGATGCGTCCATTGTCTATTTTATTGTTGAGAGGATGCAAGAAATGAGAAGAGAATTTCAATGTTAATTTCTGCTACTTTGCTTTGTGAAATGTATTGGTGTGAATTTGCAATGGTGATTTTTGTGTAACTACAACACTGATTGACTATGTTTAGCCTCCCTCCACCCCCCCCCCCCCCAAAAAAAAAAAAAAAACCATTAGATAAGTCTTTCATATTTTCTTCTGTATTTAGTGACTGAACAATGTAATGGGAAACTTCCAATGAAGATAGATGAGTGAAAATATGTGAGTAAAGCTGACTGTTTTCCAAGATATAGCCAATTAAGTATGATCTGAGTTTTTTTTCATTATTAATTAGAGCAAACTCTTGCATGTTTTGATTCAATTGTTATAACATACTCTTGTACCTTTTTCACCCCTCTTATTTCTCATTGTAGTTTTGACAGCATTAATCCGAGGTGGTTGATTAAAAATTCTGATTTAGACTGCAACCATGTGGCTACTGAGGATGAGGTCTCAAAAGATATGTCGGCAGTTGAAATTGAGTGTTGTTCAACTCCAATTGTTCAGCTTAGATCTGACATTCTTGAGGCTGAATCTTCAAGTTTACTAACTGAAGAAACTTATGTAGATAGACTTTTGACAAATTTGCCAGTATGTTCCCTTATTGGTTCAGTTATTAAATTGTTTCTTGATCTCAACACATCTAAAGTTGTTTACATTTGCAAATAAAGTATGGTTCTTAACTGTTCTATTCCTTGCCTTTCAGGTTCTATCTGAGGAGGAACAAAATGCACTTGCAGCAACCCCTGCCCATCCAGAGGCACTGTATGGTAGGAACCTCCCTTTTTCATCCTCTTAAAAGAACAATATCTGGTTGAAAACATGTAATACTCCTCTGGAGTTAAACATGCGCCTTAGGGATTCATTTTGTTCTTAGGGCAGGCCTGTTATTGTGGTTCAAAGATCAGACACCTATTGGCACTCATAATCATAACTAGAAAGCTATCTAGTTTGTCCAATAAATGTGGTGGTAATAGTATAGGAAGATGCTTTTTTTTTTTTCGGTTTGAGTGTAGGAAGTTGCTAATGTAAAAGATGTTCATATTTCAGCTCTCTATGCAAATTGCCTGGCTGGGAATTTAGTGGAACAGCTTTGGAGTTTTGCTTGGCCCTCTGCCATCGCATTACTTCATCCTAGCCTTCTACCGGTGGCTGTCATGGGTTTCTTCACAAAGGTTTAGATGAACACAATGACATATTCATTGCATAGAATAGGAGGTGAAATCAGACTTTACTAACAAATTTTATCATAACAGCTTGCTATAATTATTGGGGCCCCTTTGGTTGGCAAACTTATGGATCAGTTTCCAAGAGTACCTTCATATATTTGTTTAAATTCTGTTCAGGTAATTATTGTATCTTAACCACTCATTGAAGATGAATTGTAGAACTGAAACTGTTTTAATTTTTCTTTTCTAATCTTTTTTGCATCTTCCAGGCAGCAGCTCAGTTATTGTCTGCAGCAATGATAATCCATGCCCACACCATCCCTCCTGCTCCCACATCATCTTTTCTTCTCCGTCCTTGGTTTATTGTACTAGTTTGTGCAGGGGCTATTGAGAGGCTATCTGGGGTGGCATTGGGCGTTGCTATGGAGCGTGATTGGGTTGTGCTGGTAATTCCTCCTATCTCCATTTGTTTTCCTCAAAACTGTTATTTTGCCATTTACTCTTTACTTGGAAAATTGAGCAGGATGTAAAGTATTTTCTTTTGCGTGCAGTTGGCTGGCATAAATAGGCCAGTTGCACTGGCACATGCAAATGCTGTTCTCAATCGGATTGATCTTCTTTGTGAGGTGTGCTAATCCTATGGTCATTTACCTCTAGAAATATTAATGTTCAATTATATTTGTGTGTCAAGATATGGTAATTTGCCTGTTTACTTGTGATACAAAGTGCAAGAGACCATCAGTCTAAAACAAATTCTAGTAGTAAAGTTATTAATATTATGGTTATTTTGGCACTCTGGTGAATGAATTCATTTCAACTTTTCATGCTAAGGGTCATTTTTGGAGAATTGCAATGTATTGACATGAGATTACATATAACACAGATTGTTGGCGCATCAGTATTTGGCATTCTTCTTTCCAAGCATGATCCAGTGACCTGCCTAAGCAATGCTGCCAGTGTAATGTTATGGTCAATGCCTCTAGTGGTAATTGTTTCCATGCTTGCTCTTGCTCTCACTACCTTTTGGCTTAGAGATTTAAGGTTCTTTTCAGTTTTGTGTTCTAACACCATTTCTCAGATCGGCATGACATGCTTAACGTACAAACTTTCTCCTGGAGTTCTTGACCGTGCTAAATGTTCACAAACCTGTTGCAGAACATCTGATGACAGGCCACCAAGGGAAACTGATTACTTTGGTAATGTTATTTAGTTTGAAAATTTTAATATTCTTTTGCTTTATATATGACTTCTATTTCATGACTGATTTTGTCAATGACCATTGAATACAGGCATGCAAGCCATCAAGCTTGGGTGGAGGGAATACATGCAGCAGCCAGTTCTTCCTGCAAGCCTAGCATTTGTGCTACTTTACTTCAATGTTGTTCTTACTCCAGGCAGCTTGATGACAGCATTTTTAACTAAACGCGGTATTTTTCTCTCTTTACATTAATCATCCTCCTGCAATCTTTCAGACCTTGCGTTTGAGGGGAACTTTCCTTTCTAGACTGTGACTTGGCCATGTGAAATTCTTTTCAAGAAATCTGTTGCTTAGATAATATACCATAATCTGGAGGACATGTTAAGATTGTGTTGCTCTAAACTTGTCTTGGAAGGCTATCATTTTCACATAAATTGAAATGCCAGAAACTCATTTCTCACACCTAGATGCTTTGTGGGTTTGTTAACAGGTTTGAATCCATCTATTATTGGGGGTTTCAGTGGATTGTGTGCATTTATGGGTGTTGTGGCAACTTTCTTGTCTGCAAACCTTGTCAGGAGATTTGGCATTTTGAAGGTTGCCTCTCATGTTTCCTTTTATCTGTGCTATTATTTCCTACTCCCCAAACTATTTCTCATGCCTTTTTTCTCCAAACAGGCTGGAGCAGTTGGATTAATATTTCAGGCTTCACTTCTTACGTTAGCTGTTGCTGTGTACTGGACTGGACCTCTTTTCCAGCACAGCCCCCTTCTTTTGTTCCTGAGTCTGATCGTAAGCATAATTTTGTCTCCCATTTGTCTCCATATACTATAGCATTGATTTTGTAGTGCAATAAGAGATCAACCTAACTTCACTAAGTTTTCTACAAAACTAGAACAAGGTTATATCTATTTAATAATGTTGGCCATAGCTGTAGATCCAAATGGTATCTAAATTCAGTGTATATCAGTTACTGTAGGCAGATCAGCAAACACGGCAAATTTATTAGAAGGTATGTTATTATTGCCATTGTGGTTGCTGTAGGCTATGTTGCATGGACTCTTCATTTGACCCTATTGAACAATTAAATCTGACACATGCTTCAAAATAAAGGAAAAACCTATAGAAGAGTGTCAGACACTTGAACTGAGTCCATGTTACAAGTTGAATAAAACATAAACCGTTGAAGAGCCAAAAGTCTACCTGAACTATTCGCATGCCAAAAGTAGGAGAAAAAATCTGAATGACCTTCCATTTATCTTCCTTATTAATGCTCTACTTGATTCATGTTTGGTTAATCTTTTTCCTTTTTCTATTCTTGAGTGAACTACCTAGCAGGGATATTTATCAGTCATTTATATCTGAATTTTACCAGAGATTCAAAGGACATTATCTTTTTTTCTTTCTTTTTTATTTGTAGGTACTGTCAAGGTTGGGGCATATGTCATACGACATTGTGGGAGCTCAGATACTTCAAACAGGAATCCCATTATCCAAAGCAAATCTTATTGCGACAACAGAAATTGCTGTTGCAAGCATAGCTGAGTCTATAATGTTGGGAGTTGCAATAATTGCAAATGACCTTTCACTTTTTGGATTCCTAGCAATTCTTTCGCTTTTATCAGTTGTTGGAGCTGCATGGATGTTCTGCCGATGGTTGTTGAATCCAACAGATGAACAAAGAAACCTTTTCCCTTTTGATCCTCAAAGTTAGTTATACTGTAAGTACTTGATCCATTATTAGTATGTCTCCCATTTGTTGAGCCAGAAAGTTTGCATATGAAGCTAATACCTTTTTTCATATTATTAATTCGCCTTGTTTTTGTGTTGTGTTATAGACCATTGCTCTTTTTGACATTGCAAAAGGCGGTTAGACAATTGTGGCAACTAAGATAAGTTTGATTATTGGAGGTATATCTTCTCAACACACAAGGATTTTCATAATTTTGTTGTAGTTTCCCTTCTGTAACACATCTCTATGTATAACAACAATACATAGATGAAAAATCAGGTTCTCAATTTGCTAATTTTGATCCAGACCTTGTACAATAACTACAGCATTGATTAATTGAAAATCCATTTTTATAGCAAATCTGTAATCTGTTGGTTGTTTAGCAAGGAATTTAGCATCCAGCTTCATTGCTTTGTGTTTGTTACTTGGAATTTCTTCCCTTTTTTGGGTATGTAGAGATTAGGGATTGAACTTTACACTTATGGCTAAGAGTACAAATAACTCTACCTCCAAACTACATGACTGATGGTTGAATTTCTTCCTTTAGATGCTGCAATCTATTCATATAAACCACAAGCTTGCGAATTCTAGGGACTTGGACCGAGTCCCATTGCTCCTGGCTAAACTCATAGTTTGAACAATGTTGGGTATTTTTTTGTTATGATTACCAATGAAGAGCATAGTTTCCTAAAGATACATGATAACATGGAACAGACTTTTGTTGCCGTAGTATGTGGGGTATTGGGTTTTGGATCTCAAACTCAACTGCCCGTATCAACCACGCTGCCCTCCCTTTGAATTTTCTTGCCAACACCAACCAAACAGCTGTGAGAGGGAAAAAAAATGTAAAAAATCAAAACTTTACAAAACCAAGGGAGAAGCACTGTTTTCCGGATGAGATGGGCAGATGGGTGTGCATCATATCATTTCTTTTCTTGTCTTTGATTTCCACAAGACGAGAAATGAAATGAAAGGGAAAGAAAGAGAGTGAGTTTCACCATTTTGAAAATTTCAATTCACAAAGGCAGACACAATGCCCACTTCACTTCACTTCACTCCCCCAGATTACAGAATCCACCCCGTGTTTGTCGCTTGTATTCTACTCTTTCTTTCTTCTTCCCTCCATTTCCTCTCTATTCTTGTTCATTTGTTTAGGATTTAGGTAAATGCAAAGATTTGCATTGAAGTTTGAAAGTGTTGGTTTTGGTTTATGATTTTGTTTATAATATCATTGTTATATTATATTGTATACTTGGCTTCAGTTATGGCCACCAGGGTTATGTTAAGGCCATCAATGTTTTACTTTTTATTTTGTTAAATTGCTTACTTACCTACTCAAGAAAAAAATAAAAGTGATGATGGTAAAGTTGGATATATATTTTCTTAAATGAAGTAGACAAAAAAAGTAATTTTAAAAAATTAAAAATAAAATATTAACAATCTTAACAATAGCGTTAATGATCATAATCTAGGTCAAATAGACCTTATTAATATTGTAATTGATAAATAAATTATCGGTAATAAGAGATAACTTTATTTAATAAAAAAATATTATTATTTTTATTAAACAAGTTTGTTGTATATCAACTTGTGAATCTAAAAACACATTGCCCTCATTATTGTAAAAGAAAAAACATGTTAAAGATGATAAATTAGTTTTGGTAAAAACATATTGCTTAAACATATTGCTTGTTTTCTTTTGTATAAATTAGTTAGATTTTTTTTTTAAGGAAAAAAGAGGAGTTATTAGTTTTTTCAGTTTGACTAAGAAGTGTTGGATGGAACAACCCAACATTCAAAAATCAATTCTAATACTTTAAATTTTATAATTTTGGCTACAAAATATATTTTTAAAGAAAAAGAATTATTATTTATAAATTAAACTAGTAATAGCATAATTATATATAATATTATATTATAAATTTATAATTATAATATAATATTAAATATATAATATGATATTAAATAGATATAATATTATAAATAAAATTATTTTTAAAAATTAATTATATAATAATATATTATATTATAAAATTAAAATATTATATAATATTATAATTATACATTTTCATAAGATTTTTATATATACTATTTCTCTCCTTCGACCAGAAAGAATTATTTGATCATGGAAACTCAGAAGTTCATTTCTGAAAACTAAAAGGAAATTCTTAACCCAACAGAAAGCCCCACGCTCTCCCTAGAGACCCTTGAGAAGAAACATTTCTAAATCCACTTCAGTAAACCCACCTTGAACTTTGAGTGAAAGCAAGAATTAAAGAGGAGAAAGAAAGGGATTTCTCTTGAATCTCTCCCATCAATCCCAATGTCATGCCAAGGGAGAAAGAAAATCCCATGTGAGTTCAGAGAAAGAGAAAAAGGAAAGACCTTGAAACACCACCTTCCCCATCATTTCCCACAACCCAATAACCCACACAACTCCCCATCATTTTACGTTTAGACAATTGTGACAAAAAAATAAAATAAAGAAATGGGTATGTTAAAACAATTTCAGATATTATATGGGATAAGATTATGGTGACTAATAATTTTAAATAATAATATTTATAAAATAATTTAATTTATTAAATAATAAATATTGCTTATTTTAAATAATTAAATTAAAATAATATTTAATAAAATGAATTGTAATGATAACCTTAATGGTTAGATAACTATGGGCACCATCAAATACCCACAAAAAAATCCTCTTCCAACAGTCACATAATCACATTCCTTGATTTTACATCACTTCAAGTTCAAATAAACTTGTATTTTGGGGGAAGTTATAAAACAATTTCAATGGAAAAGGGAAAAATTAATGTTCTTTCCACCACAAACTTCTGTTGCTGTTGGTTGCCACAGTGATATAGACTTGAAAGCTCCCATCTTTTCATGTCCATTGACATTGATAGTTGATATATCACTTGGGTTGTTCATGTCCTCTTTTGACCCTTCTATCTCCTCCTTTGCTTCTTCATCATTGTCAATCACTGTGTTGAAATAGAATTAAACCTAAACCAACATAAAAAGACCCTTCACCAGAGGGAAAAAATGGGGCCTCTTGGAGCTGAAGTTGCAAGGAAGAAAGCAATGTGGCTCTATCCAAAGGTTTTAGGATTCAATCCTCCGGAGAGATGGGGGCATTCTGCTTGCTATTCTAATGGGATTGTCTATGTATTTGGGGTATTTATAATTTCTTTTTCTGATCTTTTCCCTGCCCTGGTTCTTTCATTTTTGGTGTTTGTGCTTGGTAGTTCTGTTTTGGGTTGAGAATTAGTACAATTCTCTCTTTGTTTGCAACATGGCTATCTTTGGCTAAGGGAACATGTACTTTCTTCAACTGGGTTTGGTCTTGACTACTTTCTCCTATATTTCTTGCTGCAATATGATCTCAACGTTGTCTTGGCTTCGCTTTTTCTAAGTAGTAGGACAATTGTTTGGTAAAATGCCTGTTAGACTCTTCCTTTCTCGATATGGTATTGCATCTCATACCTTTCCTGTTTGTCATCCTTTTTCCTCTCCTCCATGCTTTCCATGTATTTCTTGTAAAGGTTAATTATAAGACAATAATCCTGATCTGAAGTGAAGGATTTATGATGTTTTATTGTAACTTCTCTTTGTAATTGAGAATTAATCACTTATATCATATGCAGTTCTCTTGGTGGTGTTTGGTTGTAGTACTAACAAGCCTTGTTATATGATTTTATCCCTGGATTTTGCTTTGTAGAGGATATGAAAAGTGGTTTTCCTGTTTGAGGAAGAAGAAAGCTTTTCTTCAAGTAGTATTAGTTGCTACATGTGTTCTATTTGACCTTTAGAGATGCTTGCAAAGATGAGAAATCACTACTGAAAATTTGGGTAAACTTTTATGCTTAATTATTGCTTTTATGGGGATGCTAAAAAAAAAGGAAAATATCTAAGAATGCTTTTAGAGGAATGTTATGTTGATTTTCCATTTAATTTTTACATATTAATGGATCAATCTGTTGCTACACATTACAGGGATGTTGCGGTGGCCTGCATTTCAGTGATGTCCTAATGTTAAATCTCAACACAATGATCTGGGACAAGATGGAAACAACAGGACGAGGACCTGGGCCACGAGATAGTCACAGTGCTGTTCTTGTGGAGAATAAGATGATAGTTTTTGGGGGCACAAATGGTTTGAAGAAGGTAAATGATCTTCATGTATTGGACCTTGTTTCAAAAGAGTGGATACAGCCAGAATGCAAAGGCACTTCACCTTCTCCTCGTGAAAGTCACACTGCCACGCTTATTGGTGATGACAAATTGCTGATATTTGGAGGGAGTGGAGAAGGGGAAGCAAATTACTTGAATGATTTGCATGTTTTGGACCTTAAGACTATGCAATGGACTTCCCCTCAGGCAAAGGGTAATATTCCTGTCCCTAGGGACAGTCATAGTGCTGTTGCAATAGATAACAAGGTTTTTGTGTATGGTGGGGACTGTGGTGATCGATATCATGGAGATGTTGACATGCTTGACATGGAAACCTTAACTTGGTCAAGGGTATTAACTTCACCTTCCCCTTCATTTCAGTTTTACGAGTTCAATGACTTAACTAGGGTCTTGTTTTTATTGATTATGATTTCTTCAGTTGTTTCATTTTTCATAACAGTTACCTGTAAAAGGCTCTTCCCCAGGTGTTAGAGCAGGACATGCTGCAGTGAACGTTGGGACGAAGGCAAGACATGCTATGGATTTAGTCTTTTGGGAATGAGAATGAAATTTCTCAATGCTTTTTCTTTACTTAGTATATATTAGATCTTGTTGGCATTTAAACTTGACACATTCATGTTGCAGGTTTATGTGATTGGAGGGGTTGGAGACAAACACTACTACAATGATGTCTGGATCCTAGATGTGAGTGCTTGCTCATGGACTTGCCTAGATATTTCCGGCCAGCAACCTCAGGGGCGGTTTTCTCATACTGCAGTTGTTACAGAATCTGATATTGCTTTATATGGAGGGCAAGTTCCTTTCATTATCTGCTATATAGCTTCACTTTAGCAGCCTTTGTCCTCAATATTTTAATTTTGTTCACCTCTTCATTTGTTCATATACGCAGGTGTGGGGAGGATGAGCTTCCTCTCAATGAGTTGCTGATCTTGCAGCTTGGGGCAGAGCATCCAAATGGTCGTTACAACATTTCCATGTGCAAAATTTTTGGTAACCATTGGATCCAAGAGAAAAGGCGACTTCAAAGAGCAGAGGAGAGTGATTTGGTAAAGCATTTACAAACTAATTAATGTAGTAATGTGAGATGCAATGACAGTTGGTATTTCCTTTTGAAATTGAAGTAACTTACTTGTTTTGAAGCAGAAAGCAGGACTTTACAGTGCTAATGAATTGGTAATGGGTCGAACTCATGAACCAGAGCTAGAAACAAGGCAATCTTTAAAATTCATTTCAGGTCAGTTCAGATCATTAAATACTCCACACTTCATTCCTTGTATAAAAATGGATATTTCAAATTTGATTGATTTTGATCATCTGTTACTATTCAGATACCCTGCATCCAAAGAGGAGAAGAGCAGCCATTTCAAGAGCATGGGAAGTTGAATCAGAACAAGAAGAGCATTCCCTTTCTCTCTCCCAGCATTCATCTCCTTCGCAATCTGATCAAGAACAAGCCCCAGCACAGAAAGCCACAGACTCTACGGGATCTCAAGGATTTAATATATTCAAGCAGTTCCATCAGAAATCAAGTGATTCTCAGACTATCAATGCTGCAGCTATCCAGAGAACTCAACAAAATCTACATTTTTTACGAGAATTTCAGAACCATTCAAAACCAGAACATCTTCATCCTGTTCACAATGGCAAACAAGGAACTCATTGCCCAATAACCGAGCAGAAATCCCCAGAGACAGGGCCTATTCAAAACATGGTAAAATATTGGTTTCTCTCTGAAATGTCCTGCCTTTTTTAGTTCAAGACTGCTATATGGATTCTCTTCCTTGTTGCTTGTTTTTCCTCCCAATATTCATGCTCTCCATTTCATCTTGTCCTTAGATTGGTTCTGAAGTAAGAGGTAAAGTAGATGCGGCCTTTGACTCAGGTTTCCTGATGACAGCAACCGTCAATGGAAAGATTTTCAGAGGAGTCTTATTTGCACCAGTAAGCTTCAAGCCTTCTAGCCTACATAAACTTTCACTAACGTATTTCTACCAGCTTAATCACTACAATGCCTCTTTTCTTTTATCAACATTAGGGAACTGGGATCATCTCAAAAGGAGCAAAGGTAGCTCAGAGTCCCGCATCAACGAGCCAGATTGCTCCTCAACCATTCACAAACTCAAGCTGTGCAGAACCCTTCAAGCCTTCCCACAAGCCACTGTCACTCACTATGCCAGAATCCAGTTACAGCTTCCAACAAGCTCAGATGAGCAGAACCTATCCCTTCACCAGAGCTGCCCCATCTGCAGCAAAGGAGCCAAAGTTGAGAAGTGATCTTCAAGGAGTGGTTTTAACACTAGGAGGACCTGGTAGTGGCCACGGTTGACATCTGAATTTGAGAATCAATATTTGACCGTTCTTTTTTCTCTCATGTAAATCTTTTATATGTAAGTTGTAATCCAGGGTTTATTAGTTATCATCAGTTTTTCTTTGCATCAACTATCAGTTTAAGCCTTCCAATTATCTGATCTTTGTTAGAATTAGAATACTTCTTTCATATTTATATTTCATCAAAATTGGAATGCATTCCGTTCAAGTTGTACCCCTTTTAGGAGCAAGGGCAATTTTTTCAAGGGTTAGATTAAATACAAATTGGATTAATTAGAATAGAATTATAGCTATTTAGAAAAGTAAAAATTAAAATATTTTTGTTAAGGGATTGGATTTAAATCACAGGGTAGGTAGGATTTTGATAATACTATTCACATTGGGTGTGGGTGAACTTCACCTTCCCTTGATCTAGTGCTAAATTTAGTTTTTTATAATTTTTTAAGGTCACATAAGTAAATCACCTTTCTAATATTTTTCACGTTGAAGTAATTTGTCATAAAAAAAATGAAGTAAAATGCCCTCTCAAAATTATATTTTTAAGAAATCGATATAAATTTACTTATTGGAGTTAAATTTTATTAAATTATTATTTTTAATATTTAATGAAAAAATTTAATGAAAAATTAATAATAATAGTTAAATTTAAATTAATTTTTTTAAAATAATAATTTATTTTGATACAATAATTTTAAAAAGGAGGTGCACTTTTTATCCCCTTTTTTTTTTTAAATTATAAACAATACACACTCAATCAATTGTACTTAGTAGTCTGTCAAATGCAGAAGCATCGCAATGCCATCTAAGACTTGAATAAGACTTGCATTATATTCCACCCTATCCAGTAACTGTTATTGAACGTGATTTTTCTGCATGTCAATTGTTTCTTCAGTTTCAAATTCCTATTTCGTTAACACTGCTATCAACTGTTCATGACGGGGGGGAGTTTGTGGTGGTTGTGGAGGAATGACTTGTTTCACTATGTTTTCTTACATACTTTCCACTTGCACACACGTAATATTGTGGCGTTGGTGGTGGAGGCTGGAGAGGGAGAGGGAGAGGGAGAGGAAACACCGGCGCATCCAGCGCGATACTGTCTGT